GCCCCGCCCCGCCCCGCCCGCTCCCGCTGCGGGTCATGTGGTGCTGGTGAGGTGCCAGGTGCGCCGCCGCCACATCACCACCGTATCGGGTGATCGGCAGTTTATGGCGCGCTCGCGCTGCGCTCGCGTGTCCGCGGGCCGCGCGTGCATTCCGGAACTGGACGCGCTCCGCGGAGAGGCTCCAGGACTGACCGGGAGCGACTTGGACCGCCGCGTTCCCGGCGCACACCTGCAGCAGCGGCCAGCGGGCGCCGCGGGGCGTGTGGCAGGGCGCACAGGGCGATGGCCAAGGAGAGAAGAAAACAAGAAAAGACTATCTAGGAAGGCGTCGTGACTCGTGACGCCAAGGCGTTCCGTTTGACACGCAGGGGCGCTCCCCTCCCCCCGGGCGCACGTCTCGAATTTTTTTAGAAGCTGCTGAACGGAATGGGACGGTGTTGCGGGGGAGAGCGCGCTGCAGCCGTGAGCGCTCCAGGGGGAGGGACTGGGACTGACTGGATGGCTGCTGCTGCCTCCTGCACGCCCGGCGGCCGCAGCGCAGCACCGAGCCTGTACAAAACCGGTACCATCATTCAATCTAATGGACGCTTGTGAAAGGAAAAAGGGCCCCGTGTTCAACTCAAAACGGATGGTAAAGCCGAGGTGGTTTTTCGCGTTCTTGGCCGCCCAGCAGAGATGCTGTAGAATACAGTCAGAATCTGATGACGATTTTCGTGCCGGCTATTTTCCCCACGCTTTGTTTGTGTGTGTGTATTATTTTTTTCCTGGCAGTGTTATAACCCCATCCCGGGTCGGGTCGGTGCGGTGCGGCGTCGGGTCAGGATGGCGCAGGGATCGGTGTTGGGTGCCATTGCGAGAGGCTTCGAGTTCCCCGAATGTCCCGTGGCGGGTGCTGGCCAGCGCTCGGGCGGGTGCTGCTCTGCGCGGCGGGGGCCCGATACCCTATACCTACCTGGCGTGCTCTCTCGACCAGGTTGTAATGGTCCTGCTATGGTCCTGCTCCACTCGGCCCGCCAGGCACCGCCGGCGACCATGCGTCCTGAATCGCACCGACTCGTCCCGTCCCACGAAACGAGGGTCTACTAACTCTTCCCCGAAAAAGTGTTTCCTAGTTTGGACCGAAACGGTTGTAATGGCGTTATCGAGTCAACTCTATGGCCGGACCCGGCTGGGGCGCCGGGCCCCGCACGGTCGACCGACAAGGGCCGACCGGGGCCGACAGCCGCCGCCTTAGTATTATGGCCTTTACCCCAAAGCGCCACCCTAACCTACATCGACTTGCAGAATGAGGCGCGACGCGGGCTAGATCGGGGGCGCCTGGCAGCAGCAGCAGGACGGCGTCGCCCGATCGCTTGAGGACGACAGGGACGTATTTTTGGCGTGTCTGCATGTGTGTGTGTGTGAACGTGTGTGAGGGGTCTCCGAGAATAGGGGCGGTGGCGTGGCGTGGCGCGGCAGGTGCGATGGAATGGCCAGGTAGACCTGGGAGGGGGGGGGGACCTATTCACCCTATTCATCCCCGCCATTGTGGCCGGCTGGCTGCCGCCAGGCTGCCTCGCTCCGACCGGCAGCTGATCCTGGGCGTGCTCGTGTCCGTCCCGATCTTTCTGGTCCCGATGCTGCACAGCCTCCCGTCGTCGCGCACGCGTCCCACAAAGGCACCCGTGATCCTCCTGAGCCTGGACCAGCTGGCCCGCCCGGTCGTCCCTCAGATCTCAGATGCGGATGGAATTTGCGCACAATTAGCGACCGTGATGGACCACAATCACCAGAGCAGAGTTTGGAGAGGATGAAGCGCACCAGAGGTCCACTCTGAAGAAGATTACAGTTTACTGCAACGCTAAAGTTATTGTAGTAAGTGAACACTGCTTTAAACTGTAAAAATTTAACAGTTGTGCAGTTTGAGCCGGCAAACTACCCCTCATAGTTTAGAAGTGCAGCTCTCCAATACACACAAAACTTTATGGATAAGTGTCGAAAGTCCACTGTACTACTTTTCTGGAAAGTTACCACCGCAATGCGCTTTTCCAGGCGATGAAAGGCTTTAATGGGCCAGTGATGGACGACTTTGGCCTGTGGGTGTTGTGGTGTGGGGGCCCCCCTCTCTTGGGCCGCCTGTCTGGTCCTGGTCCGTCTGCACCAGAACTAGCCAGCCTCTAGCCCTAGGGCTGCTGGGCTGGCTCGGACGCTATTGGGAGGGAATCTCTGTTCTCTGGCGCTCTTTCTTTGCCCCGGGGGAGGGGGTGAGGGGGTGGTTGGTCATTACCTCGCCCTGCCCTGCCCTGCTGCTCACCTGGCCGGCTCGGCTCTGCTCCCCGGCCACGCCGTGGTGCGGCAT